AAAATTCTCTCTCCTGCTTGTTTCAGTATTGACATTATCTTTAAACCCCTGAAATTTCCATGAGAATGAAATGATGAAGGCACTAGACAGGTCTATCGAAACGTTGGATTTGTGCATTGTAACTTCTTCGTTTACATTCATTAAATCTTTAAACCAAAGTAGCATCAAACCATGTCTGATTATTGTTTTTTCTTCCATTTCGTTTGCATAACATGAAATGGATATCTGAAAAAATATTTCAATCCACTTCCATGCGCATTAGATTCGACCCTTACGGAAAGTAACAAATGAAAGGAATGTTAAAACATTTAATTTAGCGCCATCTTGTTACATTTCACTATTGCAATATATAACAAAGGTTCTTGTGTGATATCTATTTTTCTTGTAGCTTTCCGACAAGGAGTTCCTTAATGACCCTGTTTTCTGTAGTTTCTCCCTCAGGAGTATTGGTATGGTGCCGAAGGTGTACATTTACAAATGATGTGTGGTGGCCAATCCAAAGAGAGTTTGAAATTCAAGGTCTTTGAAGAAATGGATCAAACTAAATTACTGTTCCGTCATATTTGAGCTTGTATTTTCTAGGTTTACTGGTCATATTGCACTTCTCTTAACAAACAGAAACGGGAAAAATAAGCGCCGAAAGGATTTCTCAAATCTGTATCCATTGAAGTGTCAGTAATGCAAAAAGAAAAAAGAAGAAAAAAGATGGTAGCAGTACATGTAGGACGTTTGAACCACTCACACTGCACAAAAATCCAATTTTTCTTTGCACTGGAATGCGTGTAAATTTGGGAAGATCCAAACGGTGTCCGATCCTTGGTTCCAATTTTTCCAAGTTGACCTTCAATCGCAGGCTCAGCATCCTCGACAATAAAATGTGTATGTGTATATGTCACAGCATTCTGTCTACAGTCGCGAGAAAGGGTGGACAGCCTCCTTCAACTCAATCAAGTGGTGCCAAGAACGTAACCCCGGAATATTTCATCATAAAATGATAAAGGAAGAAGATAAGAATGAAGTTTTTTGCAGAATCATCGAAAAGCTGCAAAATAGCCCGCTTTTTCTGGACATGAAAGCAGATCTGCAGGTAGGCTTTAATTATTGGTTCAGTTATCTAACCCTAATCACAACGGCTGCCAAGGGAATAGGGGAAACTGGCCAGTTTAGGGTGTTAAAGAGAGTAGTTTTACTCTTTTTTTTTTTTTTTTTTTTTCTATCAAGGGCAGAGCATTTTCAAGTTATGATGAATTTCTTACGGCATAGCAATTGCATGTAGTAAAATATAATATACTCATGCTCACATATTTTATTTACGAGGAAACAAAAAATAATGTTACACACTGGAGTAAAATGTAAACCAAAATAACCATCGAGTGAGGTAGCGAGAGCCTGCCAGTTTGTCATATGTTACTTGTAGTCTCACAGATATTTTATTGTCTTGTTTGTGAAATAAAGCCTCTTGAATGCAGAGGTCTACTCCCGCCTGTAAGATCAGACCTCTTACCGCGGTCTGTTTGGCCTTCGAGCAGGCTGTCGTGTTTGGGTTCCTTGGAGTCCCTTTCCGTGCACAGCCACCTACAACACCATCGGCAGCTTCTAATGGAAAAAGTTACTGAAACTCCTAATTAAGGAGTCCTTGCATGATTCGCCTCACCAATTCTCAGTCGGTGATAAACAGGCTGTTGTGAAGATGTTGTGACTATAAACATGCATGATTTAATTCATCCTGACCGATGTTTCACTGATAATTATTGTTTTGATTTGATTTGATGATGATACAGAAGGAGGTCGCAAAACCTCACATCCATGTGACCGACATGAAGAAGAGCATTCAAAATTATTTGAAAGACTCAGGGTGGGAGGTCAAGCTACAGAATGCAGTTTATTTTCAGCTAAAGAGGTAAGGAAGACAGCTTTTTTGCTGCTTATGTAGACAAAAATGCAAGTTTGCAAAGAAGAGAAACTTCTATGCAGCTTCTGTGGGCAAGGCAAACAATGTCAAACTGTCATTGCTTCTATAAATAATGAGTGACAACAACAGATGACCTGCCAAAGTGAATTCAGAAAATGATGTCCAAATATATTGCAAAACTTTTCCTCCATAATCAACCCAATGCTTAAATGGCCTGGAAGTTTTTGGGTTGCTTTCCACTTGTTTCTTGAAATTTTTTTTGTTCAAAAGGTCTGTATTTGCTTTTTACATCAAGTCGAAATGTTTCCTTTTTTTTTCTTTAACTCAGTGTGCTATACTGCTTTCTGTCTCATGACATTATTGACACAAGCAACAACATCCACCTGTTGGCTTCAGTTTAGCTCAGATATTTTGTTTTTAGATTCTGATACATAATAGTCTTTATTTAAAAGGTTTAATACCTTTTAAAGTGCACATAGTAAGTTTTTTAAATGATATTTCTTTGTAGTTTACCAATGTCCTCAATACAAGGCATTCCTCAGAACCAAGTTAAAGAACCATTAGCATTCATTCGTAAGGCACAGGTATTTATTTCTTTAATTTTTTTTGAGATTGGACATGGAACTTAATCTGAAGGTAACCTGCATTTAGGGCAACTGAGAAATTTTATATTCTTGACACATTTAATGACTTGCTGAAAATGCATTTTGTTTGGACATTAGTTAGATTATATAGCTAGGATTAGACCAATGAGATCAAGAGCTGTCAACAATTTTATCTTAGTAGATGATTTGGTGTTAAGTATTGCTGAGTATTTTTATGAATCGCACAGCCTTTTTGACAACCCCCTTGAACATGTACATGTTAAATTACATGTATATTTAGTTTCCCTTCTCATACATTGTATGAATATGATTTTTTTTAATAGATGAACTGGGAGAAGAGAATTGTCAAGAGTATAAACAGCATGTGCACAGAGCTATCACTTCCTCTGGCAAGAAAAGTAAAGTATTTACTACCCTAAGGATTCTATGAGGCGAAATAGTGTGCTATATAGTGCCAAACTAAACATGTTAAGAAATGGTCAGAAATTGGCATAGGATTGAAGTGTAAACTGTCTTTTTGCCTCAACTTTGCAGTGGGTACTTAGTGATAGACAGAGAGACACTGTTACTAGTCTAACTGTTCTTGATGTAATTCTTCCCAATAATACAATAATCAAAAGGGAAGATGTAGTATATTAGAATGTAGATACATGGGAGAGTCTTTTGTTAACCTTAATAGACGTACCTTATGCTTCAAAATATCAACTTTCTTTCATTCAGAGGTCAGCAGCAGACCAGAGTGTCATGTCATCAAAGTTTGAAGTTTTAGGTGGTGAACTGGATGAAAAACGTAAGTTAATTGAACATGGCTCAGTAAGCTCATTTTTTGTATTCATTTGGTACTGTTTTGTGTATAAAGTAGTCAACAGAAATACAATGATTAGGTGCTCTTTTTTGTAATCCATCTTCAATGCAGTATAATGTCATACATGCTCTGTGACTCCAGCTTTTGTAAGATGTTACCTTTTTCTCTTTTGACCACAGAAATGGAAAAGATCAAACCAGTCTATGCTCCAAAGGACTTCTTTGAGGTGAGGTCTCAGGTGAATAAGGATAAGGTATATCCATGTCCACTCAGAAATCTTTTTAAGATCTTATCAAGATTCTTAAAAGGTTCTTACAGGGATTCTTACTGAGATTCTTAGTTGAGAATATTGTGAGATCTTGCAAGATCTTGTCACAGGATTCTTACCATATTCTTAAAAAATCTTACAAGATCTTGTAAGATTCTACACTGTAAAGTATATAATTATGTAAGATTCCTATAAGATTCTTTAAAAATCCCTAAAGTATATATCACAAGATCTTGTAAGACTGTATTCATAAGATGCCAACAAAATTTTGAAAGATCTTACAAGATCCCCTGACAAGAGTCACTACAGGATCTAATCCACTTGAATAGGTTTACCATATATGGTATTAAGTTGGCATACAAGACTGATTTGCAAAGCAATCAGAGCTTTTCCAGAATTCAATACACTAAATGCCAGAGTCACCACATCCCCTATAATGATTGTTTATTCAATTTATAAAAATTTTTTATCAAGCTTTGCTAGCAAATTTGTGCACTTTTTATTGCAATCATTGTTCTGCCTTTCAGGCCCTGATAAGTATAGAAAATCCAAGCTTTACACCACTTCGCAAGATCCCAAGGTATGAAAGATTTGAATTGGAGTGCTCAGTATAACCTCTGTAATTTATTAAATTTGGTCCATGATTACAGCTTTCTTTGATAAAAGCTCTATATCTAAAAGTACTAAATGCATTTTGAAACATGCAATGTATTTTGAAATGCTATTTAAAATTCTGGAAATCAGATTAAACTGGTGTGTTTGACAATCAGGTCTTGGGAGTTGAAGGGTTAAAGTAGTTGAAATATTGTACATTACAATAGTCAGTTAGATTCATATCTGAGATACTGTCTATGTGACTCCACGTTTGAATCTTTGAATTGGTTTTTGACAGTTTATATTTTATCCTTTATTTTGTGATTACAGGTCAATCAAAGGATGGGGTTTAATGAAAGTTCAGCTTTACACCAAATCCCTTCAAGATATGGTGTGTTCTTTCAACTTGTCATCCACATCATTGTTAACATTTTCACTAGTCTTTATTGTCTATAGAAGGTTGTTAATTTTTTTTCATAAGGCCAGTTGTTCAGAGAATAGACTACCAGTCACTTCAAAACAGTCCCATGTTGATTGGGATAACGTAATCTATTTGTAATGAGTAGCTACATATAGTTTACTTGTGAAATCTTTTTGTATGTGTGTTTTCCAGAAAGTTGTCTACAAAGAACTGGACCCAGGAAATTCTCAGAGTGGAGTGGATGACGCCTTACTTGAAAGTACCTCATGTGGTAAGTTGTTTTAAATTTTTAGATTTGCACCCTCTCCTTCCTCTCCTCTCCCCTTTCCATCTGATTCTCACTTTCTCTCTTTCTTCCTGATTGTCATACTTATCATTATTCTCTTTAGCAGTATGCAGTTGAAACATTGTGATCTACATCACACGTGACTACATCGTGAGACAAATGAAAAACGTAGCTTTTTATTGTTATTCACTATGATGAATAATCACAACCTTTTCTACGAAATTATTCTCTTTGCTCCCAAATTTTATTTTCTTTCTTATCCTCAGCCCTCATCCTCTCATTCCTCTTGCCTCTTAGCACATGGCCCTTAAGAGTATTGCAAGCCTGTATATACAGATGCTACTGACTACACTTTTAAGTGACTTTCATCTAATTTCTCCTTACAGTATCATCCCTGAATCACATATTTAGGTCATGAGAATCAAGGAAATGATTACCAACTAAAGAAGCTCTTGATTGTTGAACAAATTCTCCTTGTCAGCACCTTAAGAAATGTATCTAGGACAGAGTGGAGAAAATGAATACTGATGTTAGGTTGTAAAAGGTTAATTCATTCTTACTTACCTTACTTTTTCTTACTTATTCCTTGTAATGATTTGTCTTCTAGAATCATTTTCAACTGATTGGAACAAGATTGGAAGGAAAGGTTTGCAAGCATTTTCTTTTGGATGGCGTTGTAAATGGGTTAATTCACCAAGCTTCAAACATTTCCAGGAATTCTTGCCTCTGATTTTTACTAATTTACTACAGTCAACTGATTTATCTATAAGCTTCATCTTTATCTAGGTCTTGATTAAATCAGAGCTATTAATTTTTTCATAGAAAGACTCATAATTATCCTCTCATCCCAGAAGTTTGCCGATATGACATTTGAGACACTGGCAACAACTCTTTAAAGATGTCTTTCAAATTTTTGAGGGCAATCTTCATCACATACACTAAAAAAAAGTCAATACACACAAAATTAGTCCTGAAAGATTCACCATGATTTAAAAACTTGGAAACCTTTGAGTCCATTTGCATCAACATTTCTTCAGATAACTCAGAGTTCTGCACAAGCTCCAGTATAGCTATACATGAATGTGAGCCCAACTTGTTTGTGCAGATGCAATTTCACTGCCTTAAAACCATGTATGTTGTCCATAACTGTGCCACACAGCAGAAAATTATTACTGAAAGTTAATCTTCAACATGGTTTTTTTTTTAACAGTAATTCAACATGGAAGTGCTCCAGTTGCCCGACAGTATGCCAAGTATGGCTGCCCTCCTGGGCTGAGGAGGGAGGTCTGGTGTCTTATACTGGGGCTGGAGGTTGATGATGTGGTATGTCACTCTCATGGTCTCATTAATAATTCTCCTGACTATTTGCCATACAATTCTTATGATGTTGCAATGTAGTTCAGAGAATTTAATATTGGATCAATTTATAATCCCTTAATTTATATTTTCTTTAGTCTCATTGCTTGTCTGCTTGATATTGTAAGGAGAGGTTCTATCTTGGTCACTCACAGGAGTTGAAGGGTTACAGTACATGTAAATAATTAATTATAAATGCTAATGACAGGCAAACTTCAATGAATAGACCTCTCGTGGTGTGTAGCACTCAAGGTATTGGTTTGGTGTCACTAAGATTGCAGATGTCATTTTGATGTCTTGATTCTTGTGGCCTAACCATGCCATGGTAGGGCCTAGAAGTCCATACCTGTTGTTACTGTTCTGGACTTATCTTTGCTCTCTGTAATATGAAGTAACTAGTGTGGCATCTCCTTTATGGGATGTTTATACTTGTCATATTGTCTCTAAACCATTTGTTAGGCTTCCCAAACCGGTTTTAAATACCCATTTAGGATATATAGGATATGCTGAATTATACACGCATTTTTGACTGGTTCTTACTTATGATCTATTGGAGGACAGATGCATAGGTGACGTCATTATTCACAACATGTCGCCTTTGTAGATCACAGATGACGTCAAAATGTGTTAAGAAGATCAGTGACACACTTGGCTGCACCTCGTGTGTTCTTATTACATTTTGACGTCATTTGTGATCTATTGCTCACCAGAAGAGACGCGCGGCAACATGGAACATATTTGTTAATTATACTCCTGGGTCACCACCTACGGTGTAGAGGAGACGTGGGGGAGTAAAGTGTTTTGTCTGAGAATGCCACGGTAAAAAAAAACCAGGCCTTGTTGTTCGAAAGGTGGATAAATCTCTATCCGGTGGGTAGCGCAGTAAGTTTTGTTAACACTTATCCGCTTGACAGCGATTTATCCGTAGGATAGCTTTATGCGTCCTTTGAACGACTGGACTCAGAGCTTTTGATCCGGAGCCCAGAGTTCTATTTGCTAGTCCCAAGGCCATCACGAGATTAGTATTACTTCAGTTGTTTGTTTTGTTTTCGTCTGTTTAATGTGTTTATTTTTGTTTGTAGGACCTGTTATATTTCCAGCAGCTGAAACAATATGTTATCGAGTATGATATGCTGGTTGACAGCCTGATAACGAAGGTAACATGATCGTAAACCTCGTTCAATGACAATGCCTTTTGTTTATGTGTCACTAACAGTGTATTTGTTGTTTCCTACACACATCGAGCATTATTTCTGCCAAGCGTAGGATTTGTTAAGTCAATGCATTCAGAAATAAGGAAATAACCTTGTGTCTAGTGCTGGAGCTGACAAGTGGGCTCGCGAAAAACAGTTGGAGTTACCTAGCCGTTTCTCTGTAGCCGCTAGTTCTTTCTCGTCTGCCCATAAGCTTATCTAGGCTGACTAAGAGCTTGTAGCTGATTACGAAGAAGTGAATGGAAAAGTGCCGCACTCGTTATATACAAATTTTATTCATTGCATCAACCGGAAAAAGAGCTTTTTGCATTAAAGTTTACATCGAAGAGTGAATGCCCTCATTGTACATTTTACCTTTTTACAAATTTTTTAAACTACTTTTTTGCTTTTTGTTGGTTTTTGTAGCTTTTTAATTCAGCTGGGTACATGTATTTTACTCAAATATATTTGATAGGAAATATTCTTGCAATGTGTTGAGAATAGTGTTCTGATTGATGTTTAAAGATATGTTAATCAATTATCAGAAAGTTGTTGCACACTTTATAATTGTTTTTCTTATTTTGTTTTTGAACTTTTTTAAGATTTTTTTTTCTAATGAGAAAGTATAACGTTGTAGGTCAAAGCATTGCACAGAGAGCAATGATACTTATCTAAACTGAGAGTAATTTAAAATCACTATATACACGAAAATTATTCTGAATCTGAGCCATAATAAAATTCTTCGTCGAATAATTCTTCGTCTGTGGGAACGATGTCCTCGTAGAAATCAACTTTCTCCGATACAGGTGGGCCTGTTCCAAACCGTAGCGACATCACCATTTTTTTCCATCGCGGTACAACTTGAAGTATCTTGACGAAAGAACGGTATGTAAAGTAGGTAAAAACGACTGCAGTGCCTCCGAAGGTAAGAATCGGAATCAGAATTGAAAGGAACGGGATCGTAGACACGAAGATGACTCCAAGGAATACTGCTGAGGCAGTAGTGAATATGACGATCAGCGAGACGGAAAGAAACGTCAGGAAAACGAACATTGGTAAGAAACCAAGAACTAATACAATTGCCAAGAACATTGCAATGACTGGGTGTCTTTCGGCAAAATCTTTTACTCGTCGAATTCTTCCCAAGACTTGGCATTGAAGGTCCTCTGCGCGTTTTTCCACAGCTCGAAGACTGGCAGAAGGGAACCAATTTGGCAAGAGGAAGTCAACATTCTCGACTTCAATCATTGCGAGTGAGCCACCCCTGTTGAAAATAATAAGACACACCGTTAGTTTAATGTTTAAGGGCCCTTGACGTTTTTCGAGGAACTACGTATTTCGATGGCTGACAGCTATTTTTCCCTGGAGCGCCTTTCTACTAAATGTCATAAAACCAAGCATACTGTTCACCATTTACTGCGTAAATTGCATGTAGCACTCAGGCGTGGATCATTCTTCATTTATCAGCAAACTGTAGAAAGCGCCGGGAAAACGCGAGGGATTTTGTCGCGAATGGTTATTTTCAGCTGTGTGGGTAGAGCACGTTTTTGTCATAGATCGTGAAGCGTAGCCTAACAAGGTACAATCATTTATCAACAACTGCCTGAGAAAAATTCTGAAACTGATAACCTAGTTAGACAGACTTAAAAAAAGAGAAGGTATGGGACAGATCAGGTCAGGTAACCATTCAAATACAAATCAGTCAGTGGAAGTAAAGATGGATAGGCTACACCTTGAGGAAACATCTTGACAGTGTCACCAGGCAACCCTTGAAATAGAATTCCTGGTGAAAACAGAAACGAAGACGCGCAAAAACACTTAGCGATGAGATGTTCAGGCTGAGATGAAGAATTGGGGCCAAACCTGGAACACACTTGAAAGCTAGCCCAGGGTAGGACGAATCGGAGGAGAGAGAGATCATCGATGGCGTATACTTCAGGAGGCGCCAAGGGCATAACTGACTAGCGTAGTAAAACAATACCATCGTAAATTACTTTCTACACTTAATTGAAATCGTTCCAATCAAGCGTTGGTGCAGTGCAACTATTCCTTCTTACCTGCGCTTGGGAACCACAGTTAAATTGGCTTACAATATGCGAAAAAAAATCTGTTTCCCACTGGCTCTATTCAGCACGCGGAAAAATCTAACTATTAGTTTGAAGTCTTTCTAGTTAAACCTTCGAACGGTAAACAATGACTTAGTTATAATTGTTACGTGTGTATCACAATTCAGACCGTCAGGCCTTGCGTTGCGCACGCGTCGATTTGTCTTCGATATTATGCTCTTTGTCGTACAATCTCTAAGGTAAATCTGCTCATGAAAAAGCGCACTGTTAAGAAGAAAGTATCGGACTGGCGTGTCGTGAAATTAGCGCGCGCGCGCGCTGAGACATTTAACGTTAATCAGTCCGTAAGCAAGTTACGCGTACGATTTCTCGCGTGTGTGTTTTCGCAGTTTTAGTCGCATTTGGGAGATTTTCGTTATCGCTTGTGTTTTTTCAGTTTTAGTCCCATTTAAGAGATTTTCGTTATCGCTTCCGAACACGCACAAATATTTCAAGTTCTCTCTTGCTCCTTAAAATTCACGCATTGGGATCTTATACGTTTGATCCTAAAATACTTTTTACACCAGTTACAAATAAGCTCAGTCCTCGCCCTCCTCGCCTTTTTCGTGCCTGATTACTAATTTTTCCGCCCCGCACTTGCTGCTGGTTAAACGTTTTCACTCCACGGTGTGTTCTGGTTTTCCGAATGGCATAATCCCCCATCTCCATTCATTTAGACCACGAGCAGTCCCTCTTTCTTGACGCAGTGCAGCGCGCGAGTCAAAGAACAAAAAAGGAAAAAAGGTGAAAAATAAAAAGAGATGTTAGTGCGCTGCTCGTAACTCGTAGTCTCGTAGTCTACCCTTCATTATGTGCCAGGTGTGTGTTTCATCACATGCAGCGCCGATAGTTATCGGTTATTCTGTAAACTTTGTTTTCGTGGTTTTGTTGATCTTGTTCTTGTGGCACAAAAAAAAATTTCAAACGTTAAGGTCGTGAGAATTAAGTAAAATGATCACGAACTTATACAGCTCTTGATCGTCAAACAAATTCTGATTGTCAATCAAGAGCTGTATTCACTGAAGGGCGAATATGTAGTTTGAAATATTTACTCAGTCTTCATTACTGTTCCTTATCTTTACAGGACATCAAGCTCACGTCCTCGAACGATGATAACTACTTTGTGTTTGAAGATGTTCTGTGCCAAGTAAGTGAAGTGTTTGAAAATACACAATTGTGTCGATGTTGAGATTTCAGGCGAGCTATTGATTTGATGAAATTGAATTTTTTTTTTCAGGCTCTTCTTGTTTTCAGTCGAGATACGTCCATCCTGGAGCATTTCGAGCATTCCAGTGCCACGCCCCCAAAATCTTACATTCGAGGTATTTTGTTCGTCAAGCGTAGATTTCTATGAGAAATAATTGACTAGCTTAATTTTGTTGGAGTTTGTCCTGGTTTCCTCGAACATGAAACCACAAAAAGTGTTCCTTCTTCCCTATGATAGGATGCTTGAAGATCGCTTTGCTACAACAACAATTCCCGTGTGAAAAAAACATCTGCTTTCTTTTCTTCCAGGCAAACTTGGTGTTCAAGACTATGCTGTCGTTTATCCCCCAAATGGTAGGTGTAACTTCACAAAAATGCTGCAAGGCTCAAAGAGAAAGAGCTACAATCTTACAAAATTAAGTTAACGTATCGAGTTGATCGAGAAGATTTGCCACAGGCACCCTTTTTGGACAGAGAGTGGTGTCCTGTGCGAACGTCTTCGTGTGAGCTCGAATACTCTTTTGTTACTGTGTCAAGGAGCTAGACCGTTTCACTGATTTTTTTTATATTTCATGTTTTCTCGTTGCAAAATGGAAAAAATGTTCTTCATAACGCCACATGACTACACTACAAGTACCACGTTTTTCATTACCTTCTTGTTTCTCTATCAACAGGTATCATACCCTTCCACGGCTTTTCTATGTATGGTGAGCTCATTACTTCTTTTTTCTTAAAGAAAAAAAAACCTACAACTTCGAAGAAAAATTCAAAACTTATCCCGCTTTCCGTTGCACGAAGCGATTTGGAGCATTGCTATTCTACCTAGATCTATGACGATTCGTCGATAATCATTCATACTCCTGGATGGAGAGAGTCTCAGTGAGAGTAAATTGGCTTACCCAACAACGCTACACAAAGACCTGGCCATGACTCAAACCCTGGCCTTTTGATCTAAAGGTCAGTGCGCTGATAGGGCCGCTGACCAGAGGGTCGCTGCGTCTATCACTTCCAGTGATTCGTATGGAAAGCACCAAGTAACATTGCTTCAAACCACGTGAGCCCCCTATGTTCCCTTTCCTAACCCTAACCGCCGGAATATCGCGGGTTCACATGGTTTGTAGCAATGTTACGTAGTGCTTTCCAATCCATTCGAACAAAAATGAAGCTTTTTTTTCTCAAACCTTAATCGTTGGTACTTGGAATTAAACGATTTACTTCCTGGCACCGTTGACCTGCTCTTTATTTTATTTCATAGCGTCTCCTTTAGGTTATATTTGCGCTGAAGCTCCACAACTTTACTTTCTCTTTCGACGAATTTACACCAGGTGAGAATTGAGTTTATCTCGATGGAGGACCTCTGGGCATGTTTTGATTTAGATTTGGAATTTTATGGCACCTGTTTAAAAATCATAGGTTTTTTTTGTATTTGAGATGAAATTTCCCTCGTGCGCACTTGATATTAATAGTTTCGTACAATTTTTACCGAAACGTTTTTTAATTTTTTTGTAGATACTTTTTTCGTCTTCACGGCATGTCCTCGCACCCTCAGGTAATGTCGTGTGTGTAATCTGTTACAACCGATGTAATAAAGCAACTATGTGATGCTGTAGCACTAACTGCATAGTCAGTAGTTATCAGGGGTATAACGTGGAGCATATCAAATTAATCCTCTCCTTGAAGGACAGGAAATACTGATCTGAAGTTTTTACATACGCAACCCTTTTTGATGTGAAATATAGCTATATCAAGTACGTAGTTCGCAATTGCGGATTTTAACCTCTTCTTTTATTATTTTACAGGGAATTATGTCACTGTGTGTGTTGTTCGAAAATCTTCTTCAAACTCACGAGCCTGCCCTGTTTTACCATTTAAAAGAAGTTGGTGCTCACCCGTAAGTACGGAGCCATGTCAGGTTTTCTTATCTTTCTTTTCTATTTAATAAGCCACCGGAATAGTTTTGATTTTCAGTCTCTGTTTGGTTTGTTTCAGGCTCCGTTTAGTCTTTAACTGGTTAATATACGCATTTGCTGGTTATTTGGAGACAGAGCAGGTACAAAATGGAAACAATCAGTTTTATCTGTTATCGTAGTAGTGATTGTTGTTTTTGTTGTTTTTATTTTTGTTCTTGTTGTTGTTCTTTACGTTGTAGTTGTTGACTGTTTTCTTGTTGTTGATGTTGTTGTTTTTGGTTTTTTTTTTCGTGGTGGCTATCAGTGATGTCAATGATGTCCTCAAACTCCTAAGAGTGACTAGTATCTAATTTGTCCATGCAATATCACCCCTGGATCAAACGTTAAGGTTGCAACAATGAAAAAAAGCTCTTGATTATTAAACAAATTCTACTTTTCGTCAGCACCGTTTCATGATGTTTTGATGTGATTATGTTACACAGCAACATTAGCTGTCGAGCTTCTACCCCGCTATCATATTGCTATCTTCAGTACAACTATGTCTTATAGAGATTCAAATTTTTAAACCAAGCGCTAAATTAGCTCAGGAATTTTGGCTTTTCTGCACAATTTGAATGCATTCGACATCACTTTTATTACATTTTTGTGCTGGAATTCAAATTGTGACCGTCAATAAACAAGTGGTTCATCTGTGGTCTTGTCAACAGCTGCTCCTTTTGTGGGACAGGATATTTGCTTACGACTCAATGGAGTTATTAGCAGGTATGGCGACTTCTTAAAACACAGTATAGCACTGCTGTAGTTTAGTTACTAAAGAGGAATTGTGAGCCTCAAGAATCTTATAGATTAAAACAATTGAGTGTATGGCGGCGGACATGAAAATGCTTTAGCACAACTAAAAGTCAGTTTAGCCTGAGCCGTTGGGCGAGGATTAAAATGACATATTTATGCCCATTGACATGAATTATATTAATATTATTGCCATTTTTGAGGGCATTAAGAAAATACACTGAAAAAATGGCAACTAAACATTCTGAACTATCATGCGAGCGCTTGCGGGCTTAAAGCCAAAATCTCCTCCATTTTAGCCCCCAAAGTGCGCCTCAACCTCCGGAAAAGTGATAATAATTGTGGCTGAGACGGCCCATGGTGTGAAACGCTTAGAAATGGGAGAGGTGGAAGGCTATTTGTGATAGGTGTAGATGAGCAATACTCCATGTCCTTTCATGCTTCAGAGTTCGGGATACACAACGGCGTGAATGAGCCACTATTCCTGTTTAAGCTGACAAACGCAGAAATGACAGACCACGTTTAAAACCTCTTCGCAAGTTGTGGAAGAAATTACTGGGAACCTCTAAATCTTTGTTTGATTTCCTTTCAGTTCTCGCCATGGCAGTCCTGTCCTATCGTCGCGCAAATCTCTTGGAAGTCACTAGTCTACAGGCAGCTCAGGTTTGTATGCTCATATTGTGAACTCTCTCCACTAAATGACTTACATCTCGTTGATATGAGAATTTTAAATTACGACGTGTTTTCTATATTTCTGTAAAGAAATTTTGTGATAACAGATTTGTTCATCGGCGAAGGTGGGGTACACGGAAACCTGGAACATAAGACAGCGGAGGGAAAATAGATTTGGGAAGGCAAGAGATCACTGAGCAGAAGTGAAATTGCTCCCAAGATCTGTTTGTTAGTTCTCCCCTCTAGCTGGCACACATTACCCTCTAAATTAGCTACGAGAATTTGGTGTTGGATCAAGATAGCAAGTTCTACCTGATACGTTTGAGCATTCTCATTATCTGTTTACTGGATAATATATGGACATTATAGGGAGAAGATACATGTTTATCACCTTTGAGAGCTTAGAGTTATTCTTCACTCATTCCAGCACTCAAACTGGAACTTCAGGAACGCTTGAAACTGTTCGTAAACGAATGACAAGTTTTATTAACGGTGTGGACTATTAATAGTTGTATAAGGTGGTTTAATGATGATGCATTTTGTATTTATTCTTTCTTCGTTTCTCGTTACAGACGGTGCTAGCTGATATTTCCACGTTAAACTCCATTGCTTTACTGCAATACGTGTTATTTCTTAAATAATAACTCAATACTGCTCCTTGACTATCGAGATTATAGACAATGCGGAAGCTTGTAAACCTAGATGGTAAACCGCTTGTTGTCCGTAGCGTGCCGCCTTCTCAGAACTGGTCCTTTCCTAACAACCAAAGAAACCTCGCCCGTCGTGTTACTGTTAATCTTTGCTGGGAAACTCTTCCCACCGCCTCACCAGCTTGTAGTCTTTTCCCACCAAAAATTGCCCCATCCGTCACAGTTCTGATCAGGCCTATCTCTAAGTCCCAGGACTCCTCCTGTTTTGAGAGAAGTTCAGCGATCTTCTGGGCTCTTGTAAATGACGTTTAAAGTGTAGAAGCGAGTGAACTACGTTGCATCATCATCCAAGTAGGACCTCTTGAACGTTCTACATTCCTTTCTAGCTTATGACGATGACGTTTCTTTCCATATTTCATAATTCATTGTATATGAACAAGAGAAATACTATTTTCTCTTTATATAAATTATTGTTGATAATGCAGTTCAAGAAAAAAACAACTCGAACTCGTTCGTAAAAGTACTTTTTAAACTGTACATTACAACCCGTTTGTAAATTGAATGTGTATTTATATCTTCGTTTCATTGATTGAAACGTATTATGAACCTTTATTTTCGCGATATTAAAGGGTCTCTTTTTTATCTTCCTACTGCTTTTAAGACGAAAACTGACGGCCACGTAAATGGGAAGTTCATTTATAAATTTATCTGTGCAAGAGAAATTAATCATTTCCTAACCACAAACTAAGAGCACCTTTTAGCATACTCTTCCTGTTAACATTTTCATGTCCAGGTGAATGCTAGAATTTAATTGAACTTTTACCACGAATGCTCTAATAAGCTCTTAAGGGACATGGTTAGCTATAGAGCATCTAGACTGGGGAGCTGACAGTGTAGGCGCTTATTAAAAAGGGGACGGGAAAGATTTATTAGAGCGTTCTTGGTAAATCTTCTGGGGAGATAAAATGTGCGAAGGGTTCCCTAAAAAAAAGGATTGATTGAAAATTCATTTCTTCTCCTTTAATGAAAGCCTCGCGTTACTTGATTAGGATTTTTTTAAACACATTGTTTACACGGCGCGAGTGTTTTTGTTCCTTAGGTAAATCAAAAACAAAGAGTTAATCCAGGTTCTGTTTCAACTGTTTGTTTCTCTTGTAAAAGGTTGAGGGGTCAATATTGTATTTCAATACTTGACAACCAATTCTGTGCGGGCATAGATACTGAACGCATAGCAACACAATTTCAGATTTTTCGTCGTGCGCCTCAGACTTCTGTATTTCCAGCAAAAGAGCAATTCTTTTCATCACAAACGCGTTGAATTCTTGGTAGAAGGAGGTATTATTTTACCACCTAGAGGATCTTTGGATCGTCAACATTTTGAGCTGCAAAGAATCACAAAGCGCGAGGAATTAGCATTCCTATCGATTGAATCATTTGGTTGAGTCTGGCGTGTTTCTATTCCTGCTAACGCCGCTATGAGTAGTGTGACGACACCAGGCGCGGGTAAGTTCAGTGTTGTTGGATAGTAACTTCGCCTATTATTTTCACGGACCCAAAAAATGAGGGAATCACCAAACGAGTGAAATCTTGCCCGAGCGTGAAAGAGATGACCGTCAACAGATTAATTTTTAAGTCAGGCCATTTCTCTGAGTGGAATTAACATGGTTTCATATTTTACTTGCCACTAATTTGTTCGAAAGAAAGGAAATTTGTATTTAAGCGCTAAGATGTAACTTGCTTTGGTTTCCAAAGAGTTAATTTGTTATTTCGCATTAATCAAGTATGACACGATATAAACAGTCAACCAAAATTTCTATTTAACCCTTTGCACTCTAGCATAAGTATTTATATTCTCCCAACTTTTCTCCATATTTCCTTTGGTACTGACAAGAAGAATTTGAGTGAAAATCAGGGGCTTCTTGAATCGGTGACTAATTCTTTTATCTTCATGCCCTTTACATTTGATTAGGGTGATAATTTAAAGAGAAAGAGAAGTCAGTCACTCTTAAGAGTTAAGGTTTAATTCTAATTTTCTAAGCAATGCAAATTCGCCCATCGAATCTAAAAGCCGTCAAGATTGAGCAATTTTATTCAGTACAATCACACCAAAGAGATCCAGTTCACACTCATGTAAAGGAATTGTAATACTTTGTTGTCTATATGCATTATAGAATCATCATTTGAAAGTTCCAAGGACAGCTCACGTTCTCTTCCATCCGCCTTTTTATCAACATACAACAGGGAATATAAAGGTTCTTTTGGTCCACCAGCGCCAGATGCAAGGTAAAATTTTCCTGATGGCGGCATGCACAACACAGATCGTTTGGTTATAAATCACTTAACTAGCAGCCCATAGGCGTTTTGCACAAAACAAATTAAGTCATAAGTGGCTTCTATTTATTCCCTCTTCAAAAGTAAACGAAAGGGAAAATGGAAATTTCTTTAAATTAACTTCTCCAGTTTCCTCTCTCTCGCCAAGTCTGACCTGGCGTAAGTAAATTAGTCTTGTTTGCATATTGTTTCGACAAATGAAAGTTACAGAAAATTCCTCTGGCTTTGATCTCTTAGTTATTAAGTTTCTGTTCTCATTTATTCTCCTCATCCATTTTAATTTTGAACCTTTTTATCAATGAAAATTCTTTTCTCACAACTTTTTAGAGTGCGAACTTCGCGTTTCTACCCTCCAGGACAACCATCAGTTGACTCCACGTATAGGACCGATTTCCTAAGTCACCAGGGAAAACCTACAATTAAAGTGCCTTATGGGACATCCTCTGGAGACAGGAGCAATAACCCTCACCCTCATAATATGGAGCAGGTGTTCGCACATCCGATTAAAGTAAGTAAAGTAAACTGAAAGCAAATTTGATAAATTATTCCCTGTGATTGGTCTCGCAAACTTACACTGTTCCCTCGAACAGTCAGATGCAAAAACCAAAACCTATCGCTACCAGGTCACTCTCTTTTTCCCTTGATAGAGGACGGTTGTATGGGTAAACTAAGAATTATCATGCATTCCAAATAAATCTTTGACTTGTTTATTCAAAGGAATTTTGTGTTCAGCTTGTCTCACTTCTATTCTACAGCATCAAAAAACATGAATGAATAAAAGAGATTATAGTTTAAGATATTAAAATGACTTCGCACTTTCTCTTCATTTCAAAGGATTATTTCGTGTGGTCCCATTACCGAAAGCTTCCCCCAGTTAATTCTAAAGGGACAGAATCCTCCACTAGCTCTGAGCTCCTTAAAAAAGTGTGCCAGGACAAGACTCGGTCGACTTATCAACAGGATTATGTCCCTCATATTCAAGGTAGGGTGAAGTTCCTTTAAAGTGTTGTGAGTACGATCAAAAGGAACCAATCGAACGTTTTTCTCTGAGCAGTGACAGACACCATTTCGCTTTACAGTTCAAATATTTTTTTAATCAAATTCATTTACTTGTCTATTTTTTTTTTAAATTTTTAGATCTTCCCTCTACAACCAATGGCGCTGAAGGCCAAGGATTAAATCAAGAGAGATAACACGCTGAATAGCTTTGATCGCCATGAAATGAAGAAATATTCCTTTGAAAATGCAAATATTATGGTAAAAGAGAATTATGTAACTTTAATAAAAGAAAAAAAATTGAAATCCCTTTGCCTTTCCTTCTCACTTTTGCTAAAACTCCGTTAAGTCAACGGAGTTTCAGTAAAACTGTGACTAACACGTCTTTCTGTAATCAGAATGCCCGACTCAACTGTGTACCGAAACAATAGAAACACTAACGTGCATTTGAAACGGTTCTTTTACAGGCAACACACCATACTTATATTTTGGTAAACAGCTGTATCAGACTCTTTTTTTTTAACTCTTTTTCGTTTTGCCAACAAATACATCTTTTTTCATACACCATTAAACACGATATTGGTAGTTTTCAATGCGTTCAAGCCGGAGCCTTGACATGTTGTACCGTAGATTCCAATTGGTGATCAAAACACAAATTGCACAGGGTCATGACTCACCTTTCATGCTGAGTCGTTGTTCAAAAAGGATCATTTTCAGTAACAGCTTTGTTATGAATTGCATTTGAGTATGAATCATCATATGTTGAATTTGTTCAAGTCTTTAAACAATGACGTAAAACAGAGCTGTCAAGGACAATAATAGAGCCTTTTGTCTCTTCAGTTGAATATGAAATAAAGCAAACGAACTTACAAATATTTGTGGTTGTTTTTTTGACTGTTTTCTCTTGGGAATTTGTAAAAATGGGGTCTTACAAACTAATTAAGTGAGTGTTATTACTCTGAAAGTAAATACGGCGATATCTGATACCGCTTGATGCGCTTATAACTCAAGTTTATGTCGATAACACATAATTACATTTTTGTAGAAGGAACTGATAGTCGCACAAAAAAGGTAATTCAAACATTGTGATAGCTTTGTTGATGATCTTCTGATTAACTGTTTGATTTCGTGTTAGCCAGCACACTCTTGGAACAATGAATGGTCATCTTTGTGGAGCTGTGCAGCCAATCACAGTTAAGCAGTTATCAGGGGAATACATTCAGTTCTGGAAACCGTGGAAACACATCATTGCCAAACTGCAATTTTGCGCTTGAAAACATTTTCCATTTGAATCTTTCTTTCATGGTAAGTAATGGAAAATTGTTCCTTCTTCTTCTTCAAGAGATTTGACTTCCAAATAGTAGCTTTTATCATGGTGCGATTCTGTTGAAATTGTTTGACTTATATAACCACGTCTATTGAACAAAAGACGAAGTAGTGTACATTATATTTGAGTTTCTCTAAACACTGCATTAGTACTGTTTTTCGCTTAGGAGTTTTCTGTTTATTGTTTTCATGACAGATTGAATCACTAGTGTACTTGAAACGAGGATTTCATCGCAAAAACAGTTTTTTTTTTCAATGCTTTACACGCAGAGGTCACTAAAGTGGTCGAAAAGTATGCATGAGGAATCATAACATTTTATGAAACAACTTTAGACGCCAAACGAACATCTTTTATATTTTTAATGGCAGATCCGTTTTTCTTAGTAATTAGTCAGCCAGTACAGATGAGACTAATTAATTAAATGTTTACTGACTAATTTTTCATGTAGGAACGACGAAGATCGTCATGAGAAGTAGTTAAATTTTTGACAAACTGATTTGGGTTGGCTTGCATTCAGTTGTCAATTGCCATGCCATACCAAGGCGGGAGATATCTACCTCCCATAGGTAAATAAATCTTATTATTTACTTGCTTTTGTTCGTTGTTTTTGGAGATGTGTCGTAGGTAAAGATACTCGCGAAGGGTTACTTTGCAGGCAACATTTTGATCATGCTTTTCCAGACTGGTGCATGAAAGAAGTGCAATGAAAGCTCGATAAATCTTTCTGTGAATCTTCAGTAACAACTATGAACATTTAAACATTTGGGTAGAGCATTTGTTTCATCTCTCTCTCCTTCTTTCTCTGTGTCTCTTAGCCCTACTTTTCTGTACCTTATCATTTTTTAGCAACTCCAATTCAGACAACATATCAGAAGGACTACGTCAGTCAGTCAGTGGAACCCCCAAAATCCTTTAAATTCAGATCTATCAGCAACTTACGTGAGTATAACCGGATACGCTTTATTTTTGAGAAAAAAACAATTTTTTATGAAGTTATTTTTTTGGAAGGAAGAGTGAGGTATAGTTGCAAAATTCAAACAAAAAGGCTACATCAGTCGTTTGTTATAAGATCTAGCGATATTACAGTTGCACCATTAACTTTTTACAAGCTCAACGGAAACTGTCAACGTTACTGAATTAAAATGTATTTATTTGTTTTTCAGCTCCGATTAACTATTCAAATTATCGTAATGTAAGCAAATCAACGAAGTACAGGGACGAGTACCAAGGAACTTTTGGGCCAGCAGCTCCGAGCGCCAAGTAATTTTCATAACAAATTTTATGCATTCATCGTTATCTCTTTATCTCATTTACTTGGCTGTCGCTTTTTATTTGTCTGAAATGGCCGGTCAGTGCCTGAATCAACTGTTGTAAGATTATCAAACAAAGAATGAGTACTTGAATACTGATATGGATGCTCTGTTTTTCTTCTTCTTCTTCTTCTTTTGTCCTTTCCTAGTATTTTTTTTTTTTTGTCTGTTGCCATTTTTTTGCAACATTTGAGAGATAATTTCTTATTCTCCATTTTGGCAAAAAAGTTGTGGTTTAAACATTCTGATTTTTTTTCTTTTCCCCAGGCCACCCCCATACGACTACCCTTCAGAGGACCCTATTGGGGTATCGACTTACAAGGCGAATTTTAGAGAGACTAACTTTCCAAGACAAGGTCCTCACCCCACTTCACCACTGCGGAAAAACAATCCACACCCAAAAACCATGACCAATGCGTTTAATTACCCGAACAGGGTAAGTTTTTCTCTAGCTGAAACGGAGGATTTCTTTCTCTTGGGGTGGAGAGAGGGGAATTACATGGTTTTCAGAGGGGAAGGATGGGGGGAACAGTCGAGGCCAACAGAGTAGAGGTGCAACTTTAGAAAATTGACTGCAAATTAACTGCCATTTAGGAGAGGGAGATCATTAGAACATTACTGAGATAATATAACCAGTTTATACTCTCTTGATATTACTTAGTTTTATGGGGGATCAAGTAAATTTTATCCTGACCCAACCAAAATCTTCCGATCTGGCCCTACCTCCACTCCCCCCCCCCCACTCCTAAACTAATATCTATCATACGATGTAAAGAGTAATGGGCTATCAAGGCTATTTCTTTTTTTTTTGGAGGGTTAAGAAGCTAGGTATTTCATTTTTCTACATCATATATCAGCAGGGTCAATGTACGCCATATTTACCATATCTGGAGAACATTAGGACACCCTTTGTTCACCAGACCAGTTAGGCCTATAACAACGCTGAAACCAACTTTCGTGGCCAGCTGCAAACATGATCGGTCACTTTCAACCTACTTTTTTAGCAGAGAGACGCCACTGACTGAATTAACCTAACTCTTTTTGTCTCCTATTCTGTCATCCCGAAATACAAAGCCCTCTTAATTGTGCCTTAAATTAAGTTATAGTTTTTCAATGTATTTTTTTCTGCTTTTCAGGGTTATTGGGTATGGCCACACAGACTGCAACCAATAAAATTTCAATAACTCTGACTGATGATCACAGCTAATAAAGTAACCTCAAGATGTGTTTTGAAGAGTTATGTTTAGGGATACGTCATTCTATCTTGGGTCATTTTAATTTAAGCGCTACAGAGAATTAACGAGTAAATAAGCCTTAAAATAATCATCCGTTTTCCAGGGTTGGTAGGCAAACGCTAAAAAATAAAAGGTAAACGTGAAAGAGGAAGTTGTGCTGGTTTTCATTTGCAGCAGCTCCTCGGAGTATCATGTTACACTCCCTCCTCATCCCCCTTGGGGAGCATTTGCGTGATACCCCTGAGAACAGCGAACAACTACGAAGGAGACTGAGGCAGTAAGGAATAAAGAAGGTTGACAGGGAAACCAACAAGGGTGTAACCAGAATTTTTCCTGGGGGGAGAGGAGGTTACAGTCACGAGTTTCCGTGCGTCTTACCGTAGTTCTGCCTTGTTTGTCAGCGAGCTTGTATTCATTCGGCAAGAGGGAAAAGCAAATGGAGAATTAAGCATTGGAAAAGATTCATGCCCTTTAGATTCTTCGGATTTGTGCGTTTTCGCAAACCTGAAGTATATTACTTGTTTGCCACTGACTTAACGAAATAACGAAAGAAATTTAAAGCAATTTTCTTCCAAGCTAAAAGCCCGCGACCAAGACTCTTTTAACTAAGTTATATCAGTCTCTTATAGTCGTATATCAATGATATCTAGAGCAAGGTAATCAAGTAGAATAAACTGGCGAGAGAAAACCGTAAAGTTAACTTGACATCTTCTTAGAGGATCGTGAGCCGAGAGAGTTATCTAGAATTATTTCACCGCATCTAAGCCACTAAGTATTTACAATAAATGCCAAAAAAAAGAGTCAATACTTGTATCATGACACTTATTGTGTATTTTTTATGCGTAAGAGATTTATTTCTTCTCGATATGCTATTGATTAAGAAACAGATCCGAACAAAAAAGGAAGCTTTAAATTATGAATAACCCAGAGGAAACAAGTCATTTTCGTTTCTAAGTTAAGGTTGTCAAAAAGGATGGTCACTATTGAAACATTCTATCCTAATTATGTAAGTAATTTGTAAGTCAAACAATTAAAGAAAAGAGAATTCAGAGCTGTGCTTACTTATCTGTTGCCCAATATCAAAGTACCTGATGGTCCTATTACCCCTATGCGAATAGACTTGCTGTCAACAAAGGCAACTGGCCCTTGCGTTAGCAAGAGCACGGTTGAAAAGAAGTAATCAATTAAGTCAAATTATCGGAAAGGTAAGGAGGTTTCAAGTTTACTGACTTTTAAATGAGAGAATGGAATATGTTCTGAAACCACTGAAGCCTCTATAACCAATATTCTACAAATTTGGATTGCATTGTCTTACCGAAAACAATACCTTTACGTCTGGATGAAACTTTGCAATCTATAGAGTCATAAGGGAGCTTACTTTAAGGCTGGTACGGGTTCTTTGTGCAGATTAATTCTGAAAGGAATGGAATTTTTCGTCCACCGTCGGTGGTTTGGTTATTATGACCTTCAATTACCTCCTATGACCTTAGGACAAGCAGCAGCTCCATTCCAGTCTCCCAGCGGATCCATTCATCTACTTCGATCGTCATCCTCAACCATGGCCAGGATCAGGAGCTGGTACCGACCGAAGCGTGAACTGAGTCGCCTGTTACATGATACTTCTAAGATGGCTTTCATTCAATATATAACATTTTTCACTAATTCATTCCTACGCTCGACCTTGCATTAGGTTAATTAAGCCGTGTGTGTTATGTGACGAAGCGTAAATGAAGAAGAAAAGATGCCGCAAATATGTTCTAATCCTTGAATAATCTGATCAGGCATTGCATTTGATTTTAAAAGCAAATTACAGTGGCAGTAACTTTAGGTACCATGTTCAACTTTACTTCCAAGTCTGTCTTGTGAGTCTCACTTTTGGGCATCGTGCAATTTGATTTCAGCTGCCCGGATAAAAGAGATATTAACACCACCTTGAATAGAGTGTTTGTGTAGGTTCGAAGCATTTTAATCTGCATGCAAATAAACCACTGGTTTCTCAAAAGACTGTTAAACAAGTAAACGAGATGCGATAAATATTGAATTATTCATTATTACCCGGTAAACAGTTACTCGCCACTTCATTACCAACTCAAATACGAGACGTTGAATAAGTGCTACGCAAAATATCATGATTTATGGACTGGCGCTTATTAACCGATCAAGCCTTTAAGAACTGTTTTCACGGAAAGAATCCAGCGATTCAAGCTGGAATGTTAATTTCTGTGTCCAACAAAGGGTAACCAGACCGTGGTGAGAGCTAATTTACTTCTTTCATGAAAGCGTTAATCCCTCTGACAATGGCTCTTGCAGATGTCCTTATCTGTTAAACAAATACTTAAACTCAAGTGCCAAACGCGCGGTTGAGTTTGTGTGTCTTGCATGCAAGTATCCCTATGGTCGTGAAGCCTTGCCAAATATTCTTACGCAAGCTGACATTGACAAAGCACGAAAACAAAATTCATATTTTCATCTTACAAGAGGTGGTCTCAGTTCGGAAGTCGGTCTAGGTTTTTGCACAGAAAAAATTTTTTGTCGGTCTTAGTGCACTCGTTACCAAATTTCAAGAGAATGAGGGATGAAATTCCTGTATCAAAGAGCAGTGGTAGAAGCATACCGTACAAAGACTGGGCAACTACAGGTTGGAGAAGCCGTTTTCTAAGTACTTCCTTATTTTTTCGGCTCTTTTAGTCACAGTTAATCACACGTTTACGCGAATGTAAAATTTCTACTAATTTGTTCTTTATTCTTTACAATGATCTTTGTTTGAATATTTCTGGCAGTGAAGGATGCCAAAGCGCGTCAAATTTCTGTTAGTTTACCGCCAAATTTGAAGAACTACTTCGAGAATGCTTTGAAGAAACCTACGATCTTCGGGTAAGTCTTTTTTCACGATAAAAGCAAACATCTTCTTCCAGTTCTTCCCGTGTAATCTTAAACAATAGTGCTGTACGTCCCTCATAGCAACAAAGCTTGTGTTGTACTTAGGTTCTGTCCACTGCTAAGACAGGAATCTGGTCAGAATTTTCGGTTACAATGAGTATTTAAAGGAATCTTTGACGTTCTTCGCCACAAAAAAGAAGACTTTCCGTTCTCTATCAGTTTTCTTTTTATGTCGATATTATATTTATCCTTAATTTCCAGTTTTCAACAAGAGGTACCCCAACGAAGTTTTAGGTCATGGTATAGAAAGACGCGATAGCACGGAAAAGAAAAGCTGGCGTTGCAAAGAAGAAAAGGAAGGAAAATGCCTCTTAGAGGCAAAAGTGATTAATTTCCATCATTATTTCAAGTAAAACAAAAAAAAAAAACCCAAAAAACTGTGAAGTAGAATGGTCATAGGAAAAGGATTTTAAATTGGGATAAAAATCGAACGCTGAAAGATCCATTGTTTTTCGTTTTTTCTTGGAAACAGCCCTTAACTCTGAAATCAAACTCAAACGGAATATTTCGATGGAGACGTAAAGATTTCTCGTATACTCCCTTTCCCTCCAAAGTTTCGTAAAAGCTTACATAATACATCAATCTTACATTAATTATGTTTTCTACCTGAACAGCGGAGATCCCGCTGAGGCCCATGCGCGCCGGAAGTCTCAGAACGCCGGAATGGAAAGGAGGACTATTTTAAGTCACGTGAACAGAAACAAACCTCATCCAAGGATATTCTTTCCGTTTCAAACTGGTGATAGGGTAAGAAACAAAAAAATAATTAAAGATAAATATTTTTATACTTTGATTTAATAAGCGACCATGGCAACCGAACTGTAAAGCCCTAAGAAGAGAGTAGGGGTGGGGTAGTTAAGGAAACATTCTGTTATTAATTTGGTCCTATTGGGTAGGTTCCGCTAAAACAGGGTATGCCGGGTATCCAGGGTCTTTCATCTTATGCAGGGTGTAAAAATGTTTCTAGTTAGGGTCTTGAACTGGGTGTCTTTCTGTGGAACGGTAGCATCGTGTGTGAACAAGAGCTCATTGTTCATGGTGTAAACCGACGTGTGCTTAAAGGGAGTCTAAATGTATGTGAGCGTCATGTTTGTTCTTGTTCCCTTCAGCTTCAAACATACATGGTTTGGATACCAGAAGACCAAACTTCCATTTGTTCTCTCCCACCCGTCCCTCAGAGACGTATTGACCGCACCCCTCCCTCAAGAAAATGCAATTCAAGAATGAACGGAAACTTTGGTCAATTCATCGGACTCAACCAGACCACTTATCAAGAAGAAATTTCACAGACACCTTTTCGGCATAGACCTGGTAAGGAATTGTTTTCAAAACGATTAGTCTTTTGTTGCCAAATTAATATAAGACATAAGATCATAAAGAATTTGCTCAAAATAAGCCACATCATTAAAATGACGTTTACCGTTCTATGCCTAAATTGACTTTGTCTTTCTTTTTTGTAGTCAATATGGTGGATCACTTCCCCTCAAGCAACAGTAACAAAACCACTTTACATCGTTTGAAAGTCTGGTAATATCGTTGATCCGACAGATCAGAGGTCGCCTGGGTATGAAAGTTACGAAGACAACAATGAGACAGAGGAACTTTTAAAACACTGCTGGGGATCGATATCGGTTCAGCAAAATGGCGAACTTTCGACTTATTTTTTTCTGTGTAATTGGAATACTTTTTTTCTGCGGTTATTTGTAACAATACGAAATTTGTAAATTTTCTTTGAGTGATTTTCAGTTGATTGCCGTGAAACCAAAACTAGTGCTAAAATAAAAAAGAGAAACAGCCAATCAGGGCACAGAAAAATACCACAAGGAGCCAATGAGAACTCAATGTAAAAGCAAGCAAACTGTTTAAAGCTCGGTAGACCGCGATTGACCAAGTCGGATTAGTTTTAGAGGATGGCGCGAGTCTCCTGGACCAATAACAGAGCTAAGAAAAGGAAAAAAAAACAATAAAATTCCGGATTACTTTCTATACTCAATTTTTAAGTGCTTTACCGAAACTTCCAAAATGGAAAACGGAAAACTGACCCCCTTAAGTGCATGGAACATCTTTTCAGGGGGTATTTGTGCGTCTCTCCCGAAGTTTACTGTGAATAGATGTGTTCTCCAAATGGAAGAAATGCAAAAAATTGCATGGGACCAAAGTTTATGGAGTTGTATATTAGATTTAGCAGTCTCATTGAAATAGACCGTTCACTGTATGGCACATGCGTTATGCATTCAGTCCGCAAAGTTTTAATGGCAGGACTATTTAAAACAATTGGAACAGAAAAAAAAACATAAAAAGGTTAAATATTTCTAAAAGTAATTGTAAGTGCCAAATCGGTTACCCTCAGAGTAAAACCTAGAGTTTTTCAAGTAGGTATTTTAAAAAGAAATCCGCAGCAGGTAACCAATTTATCAGAACCCTCTCACTGTATTAACTGAAGAATCACTGAGGCAGCATGAAAACTTCAGTTTAAATTACCCGAACAAGATTAATCGGAACCCATCAAACCTTTGTAATAGATAATTTCCTAGATTTACAGATATCTGTCTGAAGTGGGAGGGGATCGACTTAGTAATTCTGAACTATACGAAATCCGACTGTATCGTCCGGAACAATATGGAACCATCTAAAACTGGACATGAACGTCCGAAATCGGACGGGACCGTCGAAAATTAGATAGAATCCTTCGAAAGGGCTTAACGTTCCGAAATCAGACAGTGGATCGTCCGAAATCAATCGGAATCGTACATGATTGTAGTAAGTCGGACGTAGCTGCGCAAATTTGGACGTAACTGTGTGTTTTAGGATGGACTTTAGTTAGACTGGACGCAGGAATTTAAGCGAACGAGACTATCTTTAAATTTCAGGTGTACACAAACACTCTAACAAATACATATCAATCGGTAAACTTTTATTACCCTTTCAATTTTCTTTACTAATATCTTTCAAATATACACTTGTACATTCAGTTAAATTCCACTAACATTTTATCTCAAATGCTGCCATCTGATCGAATAAGCTGCACGCTATCTATTTCGTGATAGTTACAAAGCGTGAGATTGTAAATAAAGTAAAATGAAATCCCAAGCCTGTCTTTTCTCTGAGTTTTGAACGAATAGTAGCTTTAGAGCTCTTTTTGATTGAGTGTCATAAAACCGAAACCGAGGTAATTACATCGGCCAATCAGAAGAAGGGAACATTTTCTGGAGAGCCAATGAGAACTCAAGGTAAAAACAAGCAAACCGCCCAAAGCGCGGGAAACGCGGCCGATCAACTCGTGATTGGTGTTAGTTTGGCATTTGATTGGTTGAAAGAGTGGCGCGAGTTTTCTGGAACAATCACATTGTGAAATAAAGTTAAACCAATGCAATTCCGGGTTACTTTCGACACTCAATCGAAAATTGCTTTACTCTTAAACAATTAGATTATTTGCTCTCGTTTTTTATTCGTAATAGTTAATTCGAGCATAACTCCATCGATTGCGACACAAATATCGTGCTCCTAATAGAACTGTTAACAATATTTCTAATTCAATCAATCAAAATTAAATCGTCTGATTCATCTTTGTTACATCGAAATATGTACCAGCAATCGAAACTAACATATAAGAACGCCTTGAGCATGGAAACGTGACTTGACGTGACTTGGGAGTTTGTGACAAGCCCAACGTCTTCGTTGCCATGGCATTGAAGAAACCTACGTTTTGATTGACAACCCAGTAAACAGGCTGAAATTAGAACTAATTACCGCATGGAAAAAAATTTTCCACTCAACCGAAAAAAAAAATGCACCTAAACCTCGTTTCCCGAAACTCCTGGTAACCTAACGAGCCCGAAGCCTTATTTTAAAATCAGAGTTTAAAGAATCGAGGAATACGTTCTAGAACCCTAACCAGCTCATTTCTGTTTTGAATCCCGTATCTTAAACCAAACGAACCCGTTAGGTTATTTGGAGACTTCGAGAAACGAGCTCCAGGCCCAAATAGCAAGATAAAAAAGGAAAATTTCACTTCATTACCCCTAAAAATATGGAAAAAAATATAAAATTATACTTAAATATCATATACCTTTAACTGTGCTTCTCTCGCTGGTTGTCTCAAATCTAGGACAACATTTTCTCGCTTGCATCAAACAACAACTCCCTGGTTGAAACTTTGTACGGGTGCTAAATTGAAGTGTGTTGTTTAGGTATTCCCAAATCATTCCCCGCCAGATTTTTTTTCATACGACAATAAGTGGTTTCATTTTTCAGCTGCTATTTCAAGAGGGTTCTGTCCAAAACACAGTCGTTCAAAAATTGTGGAAAAAATATATAAAGAGAGTAGAAAAAAAGTACGATGCAATCTAACTGTAATTATAAGTGGGTCATCATTCATTAATCTTGCTCTTCACTAATTATGTCTTTCCCGTGGATCGTTTTGTAATGTTTTCTCAATGAACTCGGATCTGTGTACCTTTTGTAACAGTTGGCCACTTTGCAGTGGTAAGGTTTGGTCTCTGAGTGGGTCCGTGTGTGTTTGTACCTATCACTTGAATTGGAGTACCGCTTATTACAACCCGCCACGGGACAAACGTACGGTTTTTCTCCCGTATGAGACCTGGTGTGTATTTTTAAATTCTCGAGCCGTGAAAAGCTCTTTCCGCAAGAGTCATGATTACAACGGTGGGGCCTTTCTCCGGTATGTGTTCTCATATGTATCAACATTTTGTACCGGGCATTGAAGCCCTTTCCATTGCGCGCGCAGCCCTGCCAAAGGCAGCTATATTCACTTGCTTCAGTTCTAATGTGGTATTCATTGACATGCGTAACCAAATCCTCTAGAGACAAGAAATGTTCGCAGCAGTTGTCCCATTTGCACTGGTGAAGTTCCGGTAAGGTCGGTGACAGAGGTGATGTGATGCCATGAGGCAAGACGGATACAATTTGACCCTGTGGACTAACTTGGTCCTGTTCAAAGATCTGCCGCAGGTAGGTCAAGCTAGATGGGTGTGCTGTGACTACAACATCTGTTGCTGAGGAAGAGCTGAGTGATTCTGAAGCACTGGTGCTCTGCAATGCTTCTGATGTTGTAAACTAAATAAAGAAA